AGCAGGTGCTGAGGGTGCACAAGTAGAGAGGGATTGTGCAAACCTAAACAATTACTATGCTAAATGTACTGTAAGTACAAAGAGAACTGAAGAACTGATAATCACCCACATAACCTGAACCTACTGAACTGAACTTCACCAGTACACCAGCTAAGTATTACTTGATTCAGTAGCAAGCCTTTGGCTGAGAGGAATGTTCAATGCAGAGAGTAAGGGCAACAGAGTTTTCGAGCGTTTCACAGTTATATGGCACAGCAGCATACACCCTAAAAACCTGTTCCGGAGTTGTTGAAACTAGGACGACGAGCCAACAATTTCATCATGTACTTACCTCTGCCATGCTGTAAACATGTAAACAGTAGGTGAATTTGTGTCTGCTCCCACAAGACGCCGAGCCATCAAGGATCTTTACAGAACTACAAAGATTTGCTGATTCATTTTGGAAGCAACAGCTGGGGTACCTAGCCGTACTTTAGTCTACTCTAGCCGTACTCAGTCCAGCCCTAACTGCATGTTAGAGAAGAAGTCTGCACAGTTCTCCCAAGATGTATATAAGATGTACTCCTGAAGTTGTGCTGCTACTTATCGGTGAATCATGGTATTGTAAATTATACCAGGCATTCTCTACAGGAGAGCGGGTGGGTTTTGACTTTTGTCTGAAGGGTAACAATCCCAAACATTACACTTAACGAACTCAGAATTACTCATCATTAAGTTGTGTGATACTGTAAACATGTTGATGTGATGTTGTTTTTCTTATTTGTTGTTTGTATCTGACCTGCCAGGAACTACAGATGTAAAGTATTTTGTCTAATTCTGGCACAGTTACCTTTTTACATTGCCATGCTTGTAACTGAGATGCCATCTCAATATTATCATAATAAAATTCAAAAACTTTGTTGGTTGCATTGGAAGCTACATATTCTTGCTACACAGTTAGACTAAGAATTAACTAAAGCAGAGTCATAATCAGATTCATTCATTGTTTTAATATTACTGCTACAGAAGTGTAAAAATATACGGAGCATTGTTGTGCTCCTCCTTTCATTTCATTGTTACAGAGGGACCAGAGAATTGTACAAACAATGATTTTACCCCCCAGACGGAACTGTCATCTAGGAAAGGTTGAAAAATGGCAAGGAAAAAAAACAGAACAACAGAAATAGAACAATGGAGAAGCACCACACCTGGCCTAGCCATGCTCATAAGAACACTGTGGCTTA